TCTGAATCATGTTAGCAATTGCCACATTTTATGAAATCTGGCAAATGGATGTCAAAACTGCATTCCTTAATGGATTTACTAAAGAAGAGTTGTATATGATACAACCAAAAAGGTTTTGTCAATCCTAAAGGTGCTAACAAAATGTGCAAGCTCGAGCGATCCATCTATGGACTGGTGCAAGCATCTCAGAGTTGGAATATACGCTTTGATAAATTGATCAAAGCATATAGTTTTATATGGACTTACGATGAAGCCTGTATTTACAATAAAGTGAGTGGGAGCACTACAGCCTTTCTGATTAGTATATGTGAGTGACATATTGTTGATCAGAAATGATGTAGAATTTTTCTGCAAAGCATAAAGGAGTGTTTTAAAGGAGTTCTTTAAAAAGAAAAGACCTCAGTAAAAGCTACTTACATATTGAGCATCAAGATCTATTGAGATAGATCAAGACGCTTGATAAGATTTTCAATGAGTACATACCTTGGCAAGATTTTGAAATAGTTTAAAATGGAACAGTCAAAGAAAGAGTTCTTGCCTGTGTTGCAAAGGTATTGAGTAAGACTCAAATCCCGACCACAGCAGAAAATAGAAAGAGAATGAAAAGTCATTCCCTATGCCTCAGTCATAGGTTCTATAAAGTATGCTATGTACCAGACCTATTGTATACCTTGCTCTGAATTTGGCAAGGGAGTACAATAGTGATCTAGGAGTAGATCACTGAACATTGGTCAAGAATATCCTTAGTAAGGACTAAGGAGATGTTTCTCGATTATGGAGGTGATAAAAGAGTTTATTGTAAAAGTTACATCAGTGCAAACTTTTACACTGATCCAGATGACTCTAAGTCTCAACCTGAATACATATTAAAAGTGGGAGCAATTAGCTAGAGTAGCTCCGTGCAGAGCATTGTGGACATAAAATATTTGCAAAATACATACGGCTCTGAATGTGACAGACCCGTTGACTAAGCTTCTCTCACGAGCAAAACATGATCACACCTTAGTACTCTTTGGGTGATAATCACATAGCGATGTGAACTAGATTATTGACTCTAGTAAACCCTTTGGGTGTTGGTCACATGATGATGTGAACTATGGGTGTTAATCATATACAGATATGAATATTGGTGTTAAATCACATGGTGATGTGAACTAGATTATTGACTCTAGTGCAAGTGGGAGACTGAAAGAAATATGCCCTAGAGGCAATAATAAAGTTATTATTTATTTCCTTATTTCATGATAAATGTTTATTATTCATGCTAGAATTGTATTAACCGGAAACATAATACATGTGTGAATACATAGACAAACATAGTGTCACTAGTATGCCTCTACTTGACTAGCTCGTTTATCAGAGATGGTTATGTTTCCTAGCCATGGACAAAAGAGTTGTCATTTGATTAACGGGGTCACATCATTAGGAGAATGATGTGATTGACTTGACCCATTCCGTTAGCCTAGCACTTGATCGTTTAGTATGTTGCTATTGCTTTCTTCATGACTTATACATGTTCCTGTAACTATGAGAATTGTGTAACTCCCGTTTACCGGAGGAACACTTTGGGTACTACCAAACGTCACAACGTAACTGTGTGATTATAAAGGAGTACTACAGGTGTCTCCAAAGGTACATGTTGAGTTAGCATAATTTAAGATTAGGTTTTGTCACTCCGATTGTCGGAGAGGTATCTCTGGGCCCTCTCGGTAATGCTCATCACCTAAGCCTTGCAAGCATGTAACTAATGAGTTAGTTATGAGATGAAGTATTACAGAACGAGTAAAGAGACTTGTCGGTAACGAGATTGAACTAGGTATTGGATACCGACGATCGAATCTCGGACAAGTAACATACCGATGACAAAGGGAACAACGTATGTTGTTATGCGGTTTGACCGATAAAGATCTTCGTAGAATATGTAGGAAACAATATGGGCATCCAGGTCCCGCTATTGGTTATTGACCAGAGATGTGTCTCAGTCATGTCTACATCGTTCTCGAACCGTAGGGTCCGCACGCTTAAGGTTTCGATGACAGTTATATTATGAGTTTATGTATTTTGATGTACCGAAGGTTGTTCGGAGTCCCGGATATGATTACGGACATGACGAGGAGTCTCGAAATGGTCGAGACATAAAGATTGATATATTGGACGGATATATTTGGACACCGGAAAGGTTCCGGAGAAGTTTGGAGCCCCGGGAGGTTACCGGAACCCCCCGGGAGGTATATGGGCCTTATTGGGCCCATGTAGGAGGAAGAGAGAAGGAGCAAGGGAGGGGGGCGCGCCCCCCCAAGCCCAATCCGAATTGGGGAAGGGGGCCGGCCCCCCCTTTCCTTTCTCCTTCCCCCTCTTCCTATTACTACTACTAGTACTACTTCCTAATACTAGTACTCTTTCCTTCCCCCTCCAAATAAGATAAGGAAAAGAGAGGGAAACCTACTTGGAGTAGGTTTCCCCCTCCTCATGGCGCGCCCCCCTAGGGCCGGCCACCTCCTCCCTCCCTCCTTTATATACGGGGGTAAGGGGGCACCCTAGAACACACAAGTTGATCATTGATCGTTCCTTAGCCGTGTGCGGTGCCCCCCTCCACGATATTACACCTCGGTCATATTGTAGCGGTGCTTAGGCGAAGCCCTGCAACAGGAGAACATCAAGATCGTCACCACGCCGTCGTGCTGACGGAACTCCCCCTCGGCGCCTCTGCTGGATCGGAGATCGAGGGTGCGTCATCGAGCTGTACGCGTGTCAAGAACTCGGAGGTGCCGGAGTAACGGTACTTGGATCGGTTGAACCGGAGGACGTACGACTACTTCCTCTACGTTGCGTCAACGCTTCCGCTTCGGTCTACAAGGGTACGTAGACAACACTCTCCCCTCGTTGCTATATCATCACCATGATCTTGCGTGTGCGTAGGAAATTTTTTGAAATTACTACGTTCCCCAACACCACCAACCGGGACAAAAGGCCCTCCTGCCTGGGCTCACCACGCAGGCCACGTGGAGGCCCATCTGTCCCGGTTCTGGTTAGAACCGGGACTAAAGGGTCAGGGCATTAGTAACGATCCTTTAGTCCCGGTTCAGGAACCGGGACAAAAGGCCCTTACGAACCGGGACAATAGGCCCGTTTTCTACTAGTGACAACGAACAATCGACTTATCAGTCTATCACTTTTATCCTTTATCTTTTCTACTTTATCCTTGTTGTTTTTTATTCTTGTTCTTCGTTGTTCTTCTAGTTGCAAGGAAGTGAACCTCGAGGCTCTAGGGCGATGAGGTTAACCTAAGGCAGCCCATAGCCAATGCGCCCTCACAGGGTCTCTCTTGCGGGCGTGTGGGGTTTCAGGTCTCAAAAGACCGAGGCGGCGTGCCTTGCGTACCACGCTCCCGACGAGGCTCCTTTGGCAATCTATCATGCACACTGCGCTCGACGCCGGAGGTACACGGTGATGTTTTCGTGTGCGAACACCCCCGCATCAATCTTAGCAAGCAAAAATATTTGCTTACAATGAGTTGACCGAGAAAATTCGTGAACTTTAGTCAACCCAACTTATCCATCCTATCTGCCTCAAAATTCTTTTTGTTCCTTTTCAATAATGGAACAATGCGTTCTTCCGGTCCATAGTTCATTACAATGGCTTAGGCTTTCTTTGTTTCGCATGATGTTTAAAATGCAGAATAGGAAAATAAAAAATAGATGCTAGATGTCATGACATGTGATTTTCCTGAGGAACTGAAACCATTTCCCACAGGAACTGAAACCACGGATACGTTTGACTTAGATTTGATACCTTAGAGTGATATGTCACACCTCCAGGAGGACAATCACCCCCACTTGTGTCATCTCCACCTTTATAGGTAAATCAAACCGTTATGCTCATGATCAGTATCACTACATCTATCGTTATATCCACCAGAACTATCATTGCTTATAGGATGAGTTGTTGGAATTCCCATGCGGGAATTGTTGGAACTGTGGGCCCCTCTTTCTTTCCTAATAAGGGGGTGTTTGGTTCAGAAGTCCTAGGACTTTTTCTAGTCTCAGGGACTAATCAAAAAAGATTCTTCAGTAGAGTCTTTTTCTAGTCAGAAAAAGTCCCTCCCGTTTGGTTCCTAGGGACTTTTTCTAGTCTCTGAGATAAAAAGTCCCTGAACCAAACACCCCCTAAATCTCCCCCTAATCCAACCGTGGGGTCTTTCCTCAAATAAATCTCTCTCTCTTCCTCTGAGATCTCTCTCTCTCCTCCCTCTAATCTCTCCCCCCTGATTTTAACGGGGTGGATGGCTGCATGCATCGTACTTTTGTTTCCTGGGCCTTAGGAGTACTTGTGTTTACGGTTTGCATGCAAATTAAAAAAAAGGAAATAAAGGAAAAGGAAACAACGCATGGAACCGCTTCAATCTGGAATACAAAGGCTGGTCGGAAAGCGAGCGCTCCGACGCGCAAGCGCTAATTAGCAACGCCTGTTGTTCCACACTTCTGCAAAGATTCTTGGTTATAACACAGGAAAATATGCGAATCTTCTTGAGGAATTATGTGCATGCCTAAGAAATTTAATCCTAGAAAGTTTTCTTTTTGAAGTTCCTACAGTGCAAGGAATCTGCTGCATCGGCATGGCCGGCTTCTGATGCGCACCCGGAGAAGGCCCGTCGATGTGCTGCGCTCGTTCGAGGCTCCGCTGCCGGAGAAGATGCTGCCTGGTGGCAGGCTCTTCGGCCTAGCAAACTTCCTGAAGTCCAAGTCACCCCCTCTCTCTGACTGCCTTGCTCCGAAATTTCTGAAAAGGACACAGGGCGACTATTCGTGAACTGAAATATCGCCTTCTACCTCTAGCCTAGAAAAATAGGTGTAAATTTGTGGCTACAACACTCGCCTAGGAGACTGACTTCAAGATTCACATAGAAGACTGACTTCATCATTTTTTTTTTTGCGGGTTAGAAGACTGACTTCATCGATGCCGTGCCCATCTCGTTCTACTCTAGCACCGAGAGATCCAATATGCACCACCTCTTCCTCCTCTTCCTCCTCCTCATTTCCTTGCTTCCCCATGAAACCAGCTACTCCGCGGCCGCAGCTTCTGACGGCGGCGACTTGTGCAGCCGCGGGTGCGGCCGTACCACCTTCCCCTACCCTTTTGGATTCTCAAGTGACTGCCCCATCCCCATGTTCTGCGACGCTCGCACCTCCACGCCGATCCTCTCATACGAAGCAGGAGACAGCGGCACATTCTACCACGTCTTGGCCTTCAACTCCACCAGCTCCACCGTCATCGTCATGCTCCCAACATCGTGCAGCCGCAGCGTCGCCGACGCCAGGAGGGCGCTCTCCGGCGGAAACTACGGCGTATTGTCCAGCACCACGATGTTCCTCCGTGGCGGCTGCCGCGGCATCAACGCATCAGCGGCCGCCGGGTGCAGTTTGCCGGCGGCCGTCATGTCCAAGCTACTCCACACGGCGCAGTGCGCCGTTAACAACAACGGCACCTCGAACACTACCGTGGCGTGCGTTTCTTCTGCCACAGAGGACACCACTGCGGCGGCGACAGAATTGTTTCTGCAGTGGGACAAGGTGGAGAAGCAAGAGTGCGACACCGTGCTGACCTCCTCCGTATTCATTGACACAGCGGAGGGGACGGTGTCGCTGGAGTACGGGCTCGCAGAGCTGGGGTGGTGGGTCAACGGAACGTGCGCTGACCAGGACACAGAGCCTGGCGTGCGGTGCGCCGGGAACGCGACGTGCTCCGATGTAATTACACCGAGCGGGGCGGTGGGGCATCGGTGCGTGTGCGTGGAAGGGATGAACGGCGACGGGTTCTTGGCTGGAGATGGATGCTACGTCGGTACAAGAGGTGTGTTAACTTTGATTTTTTTTCTCCGAATAAACTTTGATTTTCTTTAGTTTGTTGCACCGAGTATTTTTCGCATCCAAGTCGGTGAATTCTAGTCGATCTTGAGTCACCCCACTCCTATGTGAATCTCAATGCAAAGCCATTAGACAACTCCGAGCGTCGACTTAGACATAAGATATTCTCGAGCCGCCAAATTTTAACAAAATTATTCCTAGAAAAGAACTTATATAATAGCAAAATAATCTATCTAAAATCTAAAAAATACGTACGCACCATTTAGACGAGTCAAGCGGCCTGCTCCTGGCCGCACGATCTCACTTCTATCGTCCCACACGTGGGTCAGCCGGTCAGGTGCAACCTTGTTGGGACGGTTTCCTGAGCCCATGCCGCTACGCAACAGCCTCTATCCTCTCCATCGTGCCGCTGCCCCTGCTCCTCCCGCCCTTCCCCATGGATGGAGACCGAGCCCCCACCCTCTTCCTATGGCGCCGCCCTAGCCCTCCCCATCATTCCCATAGCAGGCAACAAGATCGACGCTCTAACCCCCGCCGCCTTTCTGCCCTATTCATCAAGCTTCAGGTGCTCGATGGCGATGGAGGTCAGCGGGAGCGCCGACTAGTTAGAGTTCACCATGCTCCCCTCCGGCCCAATCCGCCCCTCCGGACAAGAACCAGGGTACCGCACAGGAAAGGGGGCAATGGGAACTTGTCACGAGAATCAGGCCGGATGAAGCAAATATTCTTACTGAGATTTGGTTGGGTGGGGAAGAACCAGAGATTGAGAAGACCTGTATGCTCCGCCCGAGCAGAGACGAACGAGGATCTTGCCGTGGTAGATGGTTTGCTTGGGGGGTGGATGGATTGGATGGAAGAGATCCGAGCTTTGTCCCTCTCCCTGTTCTTGCGTGCTTCCCTTTCTTCAGGAAGAAGAGTATGCCAGGCACTAGTACAACTTGTCAATACGGTAATTCCTACCACTAGCAAGTTGGGTGCACCAACCTCATGGGATCCGTGCGTGTTCGAGCTCACTGGTGGGATGGGGACAACGGAAGTTGTACACGCATAGATGCGCCCTTCGCGTCGGGACTCATGAACCTATTTGCACATGTGCGTCCACGAAGTTTTCACATATCGTTCGTATAGTCGCACATAGACGACTACGGGGCACATAGACGACTACGGAATTGCACACTCTTATGCTGCACACGCGCGACTACAAAGATGCTCGTCGACATAATATTTCACAAATGACTGCGAGAGTTGCACCCTGACGGTGGTCTAGTCGCACACACAGACCATAGAGCTACATACTCTCGCCGACGTAGTAACTCACGCATTGCTGCGGAGTTGCATACTCTTGTCGTCATAGTCTCACACACGCTGCTACTGAGTTGCACACTTCCCTCGGCATAGTCACACACACGCGATCGTGTAGATGCACACACTCGTCGTTATAGTAGCTCACGCACAACCGGGAGAGCTGCACACGTGTGGCGGCATAGTCGCACACGCACGACCACGGACCTACAGGCTCGTCGTCGTAATAGCTCACGCACGGCCACAGCGTTGCACACTCTTCTTTACATAGTCGTACCCGCGCGGCGGCAGAGTTGCGCACTCTCCACGACCCACAAAGTTGCACACTTTCATTGGCATAGCCGCATATGCACGGCCGTGGTTGCGACCATATTGATAGAAGTAGTCGCCACCAAGAGACCACCCGCCCTCCTCGGCCACGGCCAACTTGCCAGCGATGGCGCGAGGAAGGAAGAGTAGGTCGCATTTCGCTCCCTGCCAAGGCCGCTGTCTGCCTCGACCGCGGCCATCTCGCCAGCACCTCGTATAGCATCGCCCAAGGCTCTGTTCTCGTCATGCTTGACCAAGGCTGCTGTAATCTTCGGTTGTTTGAGCTCGGATCAATGATTGAGATAGGGAACCATCGTGAAGAATCAGAGATTGAAGCCGGCTCAGTTGGATACGATCATTGGAAAGTTTTACACACACCGATACTAAGTTGGCTAGATGACATGTCACGCTCGCATTGAATTTTCGGTACCTTAACTTTTGTTCGTGTATCTCTTTTTTGTATTTGAATGATATAAGCTTTTTAGCAACAAATTGATTTAGTTTACATCAAAGTTGTTCTCTTTAATAGGGGCAAACACATTTCATGGTTAAGCAGAAGAAGTTGCACAATCATGCTTCTAGAGTTGCACGTGGACTGTCAGGCAGTTGGCCGGGGTAGCTGCCGAAGTTGCACATCCCACTGGTAGGGGTAGTTGGAGCTGGAGTGTCCACATGTAGGGAAGAAAGCTGGACATCAATTGCGATAGCTGGGTCATGGCAACAGACGAAGTTGTATATCTCATACGGCAAGAGGTAGTTAAACATGGTGTAATATGCACACCCACAGAATAGAGGGAAGTTGCACATCGACTGCTAAGAAGTTGGACGGGGCAGCAAACGAAGTTGCACAACGGCTGGTAGGCAGTTGGCCGGGCAACAGGGAAAGTTGCACACCGTTGGGTAGGCAGTTGGCCGAGGGCAGCAGATGAAGTTGCAAATCTCACTGGCAAGGGTAGTTGAGGTGGTTAAACACTCTCATCGGCATAGTAGCCGACGCATGATTGCGAGAGTTGCACACGCGCGGCAACATAGTCACACACACAGGAGCACGGAGCTGCACGCTCCCGTTGGCTTTGTCGCACACATGTGCCCACGGAGCTGCGCACTCTCGTTAGCATATATAGACGCACATGCATGACAGCAGAGTGGCACAATGGTCCGCATAGTCGCACACGCATGGCCACAGAGTTAGATACTCTCGTCGGCATAGTCGCACACGCGCGGCCGTGGAGTTGGACACTCTCGTCGGTATAGTCGCACACGCGTAGCCACGAAGGTGCACACTCTCATCGGCATAGTAGCTCACGCATGACTGCGGGAGTTGCACACGCATGACCATGGAGCTGCACACTCTCGTCAGGGCAGTAGTCCGCGCACGGATGCATAGTTGAACAGTCTTATTGGCATAGTCACACTCGCGTGACGGCGGAGTTGCACACTATCCTCCGCATAGTTGCACATGCACGGCTACAGAGTTGCACACCCTTGTCGGCATAGGTGTCCACTCTCCTTGGCGGCGGGTGTTGCACACTCTCGTTGGCATAGTACTTCATGCATGACTATGGAGTTGCACACGTGCGATGGTATAGCCGCACACACAGGATGAAGAGCTACACACTCTCATTGGCGTAGTAGCTCACACACGGGCTCGAAGTTGCACACTCTCGTCGGCATAGTCGCACACGCGTGGCAACAGAGTTGTGCACTCGTTCATATAGTCGCGCATGCTCAACCACAGAGTTGCACACTCTTGTCGGCATAGTCATACACGAGTGGCCATGGAAGTGCACACTCTCGTCGGCGTAATAGCTTAAGCACAACTGCGGGAGCTGCATACGCATGGTGACATAGTCGTACGCACACGGCCAAGGAGCTGATACACACTCTCGTCGGCATAGTAGCTAACGCACGGCCGTGGAGTTGCACACTCTCGTTGGCATAGTCGCAGACGCAAGGCAGTGGAGTTGCACACTCCTTTTCGCATAGTCACACACGCACAACCGCAGAGTTGTACACTCTCGCCCGCATAATCAGACATGCAGGGCCACAGAGCTGCACACTCTTGTCAGTATAGTCGCACACACATACTGCGGAGGTGCACACTCTTGTCGGTATAGTAGCTCACACACGACTACAGGAGTTGCACACGCGCGGGGGCATAGTCGCACACACGTGACCACAGAGCTGCACACGCTCGTCGGGGGTAGTAGTCTACACAGGACCGCTGAGTTGCACACTCTTATCGGATAGTTTCTCAAGCACGGTTTCGGATTTGCCTACTTCCATCAGCATAGTAGTTCACGCACAGCTACGAGAGTTGCACACTCTCCTCGGCATAGTCGCACAAGCACAGTTGTGGAGTTGTACACTCTCCTCAACCTAGTTGCTCATGCATGGGCTATGTGAGTTGCACACGCGCGACGGAGTAGTTGCTCACATGTGAGTGTGGAGTTGCACACCCTGGTCGGCATAGTTTCTTATGCACAGAGTGGGATCACACACTCTTGTCGGCTAGTAGTTCACTCAAGGCTGCTGGAGTTGCACATGCGTGGCGGCATATTCGCATAATCGTGGTTGCGGGAGTTGCCACGCGCGGTGTCATTGTCGCACATGCACAGTAGAGGAGTTGCACACTCTCGTTGGCATAGTTGGCCGGGAACCTCTGCCCCTACCATACTCCAGCTTTGTAGTTTCCACTGCCTGTCCAGGGTTGAGCCCTGGGATTTGATGGCGGACTTCAAAAGCAACCTACATACGCTTTACGCCCAATCATTTCGGATAACGCTTACATCCTCCAAGCAACCATAAATGAAGAAAGTGCAATTGAAACAATCAAAAAGGAAAAATAATTAGAATCCCTTGTCAATTGTTTGGATTGGAATTAGGCATGGATCAATAAGAACTGATGATCAGAATCCGACAAAGTAGAATGGAAGAACTAAGGAAGGAAGTCAGGTAGCTTAGAGAAAGACAAAGGCAGAATGGAAGAACAACCCGTTCCTTTCCATTACTACTACTTGGAATTGGAAGTCTAGGAGCAGGACTAACCTTTTTCTTTCATTTAAATAAAGTAGAGATGTAGCTTTCTCCATCTCAAGAAATTATTCCACCTCCATTCATTGGAGAACAAAGCGTTATCGGATTAGATCCTTGCTTTAAACTCAACAAATCAAGTTTCAAAACTAGATGTTGAAGAGGCAAAGGGAAGAGCGGGGTTGTCGAATTGTTTCTCAGAGCCGGAGTGCAAGAGTGAGCAGCAGTCCGGTCAGCCCTTGCTTTCTCAACTTGAGAAGGAAACTTCCAACCAAATAGGAGGAAGGGCACTCTCAAAAAAAAGAAATGTAACATAGTTGAGAGCACACTCGGGTTGCTTAG